CCCGTAATCTTTAATCTTCTTCCTGGTTATTGGCTAGTGTTGTGGTGCACAAAAGGAATGGGAAGAGAAGAAAAAAGAAAAAATGGAAGGGAAAAAAAAGAAGGATGACTGAATGATTTTCAGGGAGACAGCAGATTGTGTCAGCAGAATTTCCTGCTACACTCTAGCATCTTCTGTGTGGAGAAAGGCAGAAGAGGTAGGGGACTGTACATTCCAAGCCTAGCTGGGATGGCTTGATTTAGCCACACTATTTTAGTCCATCCTTTCTTTTATTTTCTTTTTCTCATTAAGATTCCACAAATGACGGGCAGTCATTCTGATCCAGCGACCCACTGGCAACCAGGTGGACAGCCTCACCATTTTATAAAGTCCTGTATCTATGTTTTTCATGTCTATTATTCTCTTATTTTAGACTTATTTTACCTTCTGGGTGTATGTGCCTCCCCTTTCTCCCAATTACCTGTGTTTTAGTTGAATTTCTCTAAGTACCTCTGAACAAATTTCCACTTCTATTCAGCCATGTTCTCTCCCCTAGTAGGTACTCATTTTATTGCAAAACAGAGATTCAGGGGGATGAAAAGTATTAGCAATCATCTAAGAAAGAGTTTAACCTACCACGTGGGTAAATCAAGTCTGTAAACATTAAAATTAAGGAAGACAGATGCAAGGACAAAGGAAATTAATAAATAAAGGAAAGAGGCCTATCATGCTTATTTACCACTAAGTGAATTATTGATACATAACTCTATGAAGAGAAAGATTGGAAGTAACTAAAATTGAAATTTTAGGTAAGAAACATGTCTAGAGACTCACTTCTCAAGCAAAGTACTGTGTGTCTCATTACATGAATGAAGTAAATTTGGCTTTTTAACTGATGAGTCTGCATCATCAAAGGAGAAATCCCCCTGTCAGACAAAGAAGTTTGAAGATTAATAGCTGGCCAAGAGGAGGACAAACTTGTGTTCTGCATATTTTTTCCTACGAAGTCTCTGAATTTACTCTTATAGCTTTCCAATATCATTGCAAAGTATTACCTTGGGAATAATGAATTTCACTTTTCTTCTTTCTCAGGTTTGTCACCCTGGTCTTCACTAGCACGGATGATGCCTGGGAGAGAGCTTGGGTCCTTCATTAGTCAAAAGATACACAGATGCTGCTGCATGGACTCAGCTGTTTAAATACACATTCCCAAACAAAATATTTGCAGCACGGATGCCAAGTTCCTACTGACATTCACAATAATATTAAATTTGACTCCACTAAACAAGTGCAACAATTTCAGGAACAAAAGTTTCATCTTAGCTTCATCTGTTGTAATGTTCCCTTTCAGTTTTAAACATTCTCTTTTGGTTTTCAGTTAGAAAAAGAAACTGAACACATATTAGTGATTGAAGTTGCACAGCTCTTAAATAGAAAAGTCATGTTACTACTATTAAAACATCTTTTAGCTTAATGCTAAATTGTCCTTAAAATAGACTGAGCTTAAGCTTGTAAAAATCTTTACAGGAAGCTCAGTCTCTTGTAGAATACTTTTTCTTCAAGGTTGAATACAAATTAATATGACAAAGTCTGCAATATTATTTAACCAAAATGGAAATCTCATGGAATATGTATAGTGCTGTAGCACTTCATTTTGCAATTTGTGACTTAAAAAGATGAAATATTTTTTAAATGAGAGATTTGCCTCAAAGTAATTGTTTTAAGCACATACAGAGCCTATCTTTGCTTTTGTACTTCTTATAACCTAGTAAATATAGACTAAATTTAATAGGACTTTTATAAATGTAATAGAAAAAAATACATGGAAGATACCAAAATGGCAAAAAAGTACAAAAATGGGTAAATATAGTTTTTAATATTTTCTACTGAGCATCATTTATAAGTTCAATCATATTAGTCAAGGCCATGACAAAAATCAATGCCCTATGTTGAACTGTTGAAAAAAATAATTATTATTTTAAAAGATTTCAGCTTGTGACATAAATCACTATGCAATATTTATATAGCCATACTGAAACTGAAGACAGTACTTAAATCCTGCCTAATTTTATGAGGGATGGATCAATTCATTTATTTAACTTATACTTTTATGAATGTGATTAAATTATTAGAAAATAGGAATATATGG